CAAAAGAGTTTATAGAATTTTCAGGTAAAAGAGAATACCAGGTTAATGCACCCTTGGTGAGTGTTTCTCCAAATTTCTTGACCAATACTGATTCAATTTCTTGCTTGGTCAAGTCGTTGCCTTTTACACCTGTAGTAAATGCAGTTACGTGATCACGTGGGTCTGTTGTGCCATCATATTTCGAGATGTCAGGCATTTTAAACTATTTAGGGATTGGAAGGGGAGCAACACTTGGTTTCCAAGGTTGTTGTGAGTATTTATCCATATCCACTCCTTTGATTAGAGGGGGAACTCCAGGGATTTGCTCGATGCGCTCATTCTGTTCCTTAAGTTGTTTCTGCAAAGTTAGTACTAAATTTTGCAAATGAGAATTATTTGAATTACCTGGTTCTCCTTCCTGTGGTTCACTGGGGGTTCCTCCATTTCCAGAATTAACAAAGCCAGAACGAGGATTCTCCAATGTATTATTATTAGGCGTAGGTGTGGGTGGTGTAACATGTAATCGACTAACTAGAGCCTGAAGAGCTTTGCTAACCCGTGCATCAATTACTTTTTGTAAACCTTCATCTGCCCCTTCAAAATGTTCAAATTGCTCTTGTTGATCAACACGAGATTCAGGAGCAGGAGTGCCTTCACGAGATTGACGTGGTGAATTTTGAGGGGAGGGAACCACGTCAATGTTGTGTAAATCTCCATGATTTTAATGGATTTGATTTTCATGGTTTCCCAAGGTGTTTTCACTGTTATTGTTGTTTGACATGATGATAACAACGGATAGAATGTAGCTTAAAAGAAAAGATTATCAGATTTCCGGTAACGGAACCAATTTGTTTAACCAAAAATCTGAGTTTTTGGTCAAAGCTAGAAATAAAGAGAAATTCGGGTTACTGATAATCTTGAGACAAAAATAATAGAAGACTTCTGAGAATAATAAAGTAATAAGTAGTTTTGTATTTCAGTGTAATCTCAATAATATTTCGTGTCTACATATGTTGAGTCCTTCTCCTTTTATATTTGATTCTAGGAGAAGGTGTAATGCCTTTGTCTTAATGAGACAATTATGAGCAATAACTGACATTAAAAGAAACGTTATTCAATCATTTCTATTTAATTCAAATTTTCTAACGTATTTTATATTTAATGCCGTATTTAGACTCTTTTACGTCATCAGATTCGTATCTTCAACTTCTTCCGATTTTCGGTCTTTAAATGTCTCGAATAGGTACGAGACTCGTGCCATTTGAGTAACGGTCCACACCTATGTTGCTTTCTTCTCCCCATATCTGTTGTCGCCCGTGCCTCTTGGCTATTTATTGCGTTTTGACCTTTTGACCAGTCCACGTGTCATGACACGTCATCTTCAATATTCAGACTCAGTTTTTTCCCAATACACACCTGTTGGCAACGCTGAAATATTAAAAACGATTTGATATATTTACAATTAACGAGTAAATATGTTTTTACAAGTAATTTAAGCTTTTTAAACAGGTAACTTATTTTAAATTTAAGCAACAAATACTACTTAGTATAAATAATTATATGTAATTATTTTTATGTGACTTGATAATGTAAAAATTCCGATACAGTATAAAAAAGTTGAACGCTTAAAAGGATTTTTAATTGGTTTAGCGGACATATAGAAAGCAAATATCCCAAAGTTTATCACATTTTATCTTATTTCTTTTTCCTGTTTTCCCTTCTCTATTCTTTTGTAATTTTGTTTTATTTTATAAGCTCTACACAACTATTTCTCTTTTTTCTCCTTTCTTTTCGCCTTCTGCCTTCAGCCATGCAGATTTTTTTTCCTTTTCGTCCTTCTAGCTTCGCCTCTTTTAAAAGTAAAAAAAAGTTGGATCAAAGGCTTCGTCTTTTTCATAATTAAATTGTGTCTTTTCCCTCTCCTCGTTGATCTCATCAGATACACACGCAACAAATATATACAATGGGAGAGGAGAAAGCACAGAAAAGATAGCTAGAAAACACGAAAAGATATATAGCAACACCCAAATTTCCGTTATATAAGGTTCGACTAATTCAGATTTGTGTTGCATAGGACTTGATTAGTCCATATTAACGATGCATATGGCCATTTAAGGGAAAATCTTCCTACCAAAAGAATCTTTATTCTCAAGTTGCTAACCCGAGACATCTGATTAAAAGTCAAGAGATAACCGCATCTCATTATATCCCTAGTGGTGGTGCGTGCATGATTTCATCCCGCCCTAGATGTGCTTTTTGTTTTGTATATATACGTTTATATTTTGTGATCATCAGCCATGTTTTCTTTTAAAAACAGAAAACATTGTGGTTTACCAAAGAAAATTTTGTTAATTTTTGAAATGCCAAATGCATTGTTTTTAGAAAATTTTCTTTATGAAATAGTAATTTATTCAAATGCAAATTGTTTTTGAGGAAAAATAGTTCGAAAAACTCTTCCATCTATACATTCCAAAAAAGCTTGTCCAAAAGTTGTCAAACCGGCACCTTCTATTGATCTTATTTTAAATTGTCATCCTATCACAAAAAATACCAGTAATATCTGTGTTAGTCTTATATTTTCTTATTTTTAGGTTGTTATCATTATTTGTTGGTCCTTTTGCTTCGGTTATCTTGTTTTCTTGCTAGTATTATTGCTTATTGTTGTTGTTTCTTCTTTTTCATGTTTTTCATCCTTCCTTCAGTCGAGGGTCGCATCTTTGTCAAGGTGGGGATAAGGCTGTGACATTACGTACCTTTTTCAAACCCCACTTGTGGGACTATACTGAGTTTACTTTTGTTGTATTCTATCACACAAAAGTCATTGTTTATTTATTTTGTCACATCTGATTTAAATTGTTTGATTAAATTTTTAGAAAAAAATACGTTTTTATGTACTTTCCTAGACTGATTTTTTCATGAGCCAAATATACAGAAACTTGACACCATGTTAATTATTTACCAATTATATTTAATGTTTACTTTATTTAAATTATATATACTATAAGTGTGATCACTAGAGCTGTATTCTAAGTTACCACGTTTATTTGGTTATGAATTAATACTCATCAAGAGATTTACATGTAAGTTACTATAGTTATTTAATTATTAATTAATATTTATCAAGAGATTTATTCTAATTATCTTATATGTAACTTGAATATCTAAATCTTACGGCTTGTTTGGATGGTTGTTCCCTATTGTATCGTATTGTATTGTTATCCTAAAACAATATTTGTTTTGATTGTTTCATTAAAATTGATTGTATTGTATTGTTAAATTCATTGTTCCGGAACAATGAAAAGTCTCATTTTTTGAAACAATCGATTTGGTGTGGTGGGATTGTTTCCTAATTTTCTTTCTAATTATGTCCTAACTTATTACTCCACAATTCTATTTTATCCTTTTTCTTTTTTTTCTATTTTAACTCCAAATTTCCAACCTGTAACCTACTTTGTTTTTTTTCCAGAGCTTCTGCCGCCAACGTTAAAGGTGTTTTGCCGCCTTTTGTTTTATTTTTTCTCCTAATTTGCTTTTAACTCAATTCTAATTAGATGTGCCCCTTTATTTTGCATTCTTCTGTCTCGCTTTTTTGTTCTGCTTTCTTAAGGTGTTTTGTCTTCTTCTGTTTTGTTTTATGCATAATTTTTGATAAATTTAATATTTAAATAATTGAGGGTGCTTTTGTAAACTTATCGGTTACAGTACAGTACGATACAGTCAAACCAAACAGCAAAATATTATTTAACAATAATAAATAATACAATCTATGCAAACATTGTATTTATAAAACAGTATGATACAATACAATATATTATAAAACGACGGGGAACAATGATCCAAACAGAGTGTAAATCTTAGTGCAAAGAACTCAAACTTCTTCAACAAATATTGGAGAACAAACTAAATAGATCTTCCCGTTTAACATAAAGGAAATACAGAGCGGGACCTATAACGAAGAAAACCGCTAGCTTATTCAAAAGAAACAAAGAACAAACAACTTTGGCTTCTCTGAAGAATGGAGTTTGATAATTCTCCCATTAATCAATGCTCCAAAAAGCACGAGAAGATATATCAAGAATGGTTCAATTTTGCTGATTCGGGTCTGCTCTCTCTCTCTCTCTCTCTCACACACACACCATGCAATTTGGTTATTGACTAAAAAATTGGGTTAACTATTGGTATTACAGATGGAGATGGACGTCTCACCGGAAAGGACGCCACCAATTTTCTTGAAATGTCAAACTTGCCTCGTGATCATCTCAGGCAGGTTTTTTTTTGTGCTTAATTCTTTCAATCAACTCATAGTAATCGTTGCACTTCTATAATTCCGTCTGTGTGAGCAGAGACGGAGCTAGAATTTTAACTTTATGAATTCTGGATTTTAGAATGACGAGTGCTAATAACTTGTACACATTTAATGAATTTCTTAACACAAAGATACTGTTGGCGCAAAAGCTACTAGGTTCGGCTAAAGAATCAAATAAAATTTAGTAGAGTGAACAAACTAAGGGTTCAAACTAATTTAAGAAATGATTCTATGAGTTGAGATGTGATTATGAAGCAGAATATGATTATAAAATTGAATGGTGAGAAAACGAGCAATGGTTTGTGAAAATTATCAAGAGGAAAGACACCCGAATAAGCTGTCCCAACCCATAGGCTTTTGTCCTCGTAACGGAATTTTTTTGGCATTTAGTAGCTACGTTTTGATCAAACAACGGCTATATTTTATGTGTCCTATGTTTCTTCACAGTTTTTGTGAATTGCTTTTACTGTTTGAATATCAACAAATCGTTTACTTCTCTGTTTTTCCTAAGGTGTGGGCAATTGCAGATTCCAAACGGCAAGGATTTCTTGGTTTTAAAGAGTTTATTACTGCAATGCAGGTACATAACTCTTTGTGTGGGCTCTCATTTCACCTTTTATAGTTAATTTTCTTCCCTCTAAAATGCAGATCATTCTTTGCATTTCACTATGTAGTTGGTCTCTTTGGCTCAAGCTGGCCATGCAGTGACAAGTGATTCCTTAAATGCCGAAGGTAAGTAGGACGGTATCAAAACAGTATGCTAGTAATTTCAGTTGTCACCAACAAGGGCCGTGGTGCTTACTTCTTCATCTTGAACCAGAGCTCTCGGGTTAGAGTTCTGACCTTTGTTAGGGAGTGCGTTGCCCACCAATGTGGGATTTCCTGGCACGAATCCAGATTTAGTCGGGCTCCAGTGCTGGTACCGGACACCGAATATAGTTGTCATTTGACTGCTATTCTGGAAACTTAGTTGATTCTTTGTCAGACTTGTATTGATTTTCTTTAGCATGCAGAATTTGTTCTCTTATACTGATTTTGTAATTAGAACACTTTCAATTCAATGCAGTTGACTTTGAAACTTTGCAGCTACCTACAATGGAAGGTCTGGATGGACTTCTCGCTGTAAGTAATGCTAGATTTCACTTTCTTTTTTCCTTTTTCCCATTCGTAGCTTCTTCTTTTTTATAACCGTAGTGTCAAAGGCCAGTTTGTGTGCACCTCAATTAATTCTGCAAGGTACTTGTTACCTCCCACCAGCACATGTACCAGGTAACTGTGTCCACCAAGACTTGGACAGATGGAAGGAAATCACCTAGGTCTCATAGCTTTTTAGTTATCCTGAGGTCGAGAGTTCCATTCATAACTTTAACTGTTAACTTAAAATGTTTTACAGAAGAAGAAGCGTGTGGCTAAATGGGCACCTGACCGCAATGGTAATGTTACTTCGGTACATACAAGAAGATCTTTCTTTAATTTTATTTGCTTAAGTTCTTGGAAAATTGGGAAGGGGAAGTGGATAGAGCCTCTGCGTCTAACTAATTGGATTGTGAAGCAGGCAGTCTTGTGCTATCCTCACGAGCTAATTGGTTTTCATCATCAAAATCTTCAAAGAAGGTGAGTGTGCTTATTGTCTTTATTCTTTTATATATAACAAACTACTGCTACGCCTCAATACCATGGTAGTGGAGTCGGCTATAAGAATCATCACTAAACATGTTGCTCTATTAATTAGACCCAGTATCAATTCTATAGGTTCTCTAACACTAGAAATTCTAAACATTTCTACTGGCATACAGATCCCTAACAAAACCAGAATACTCCCAAAGAACGTTGGGCTTAATGTAACTGTACCGACATGACTAAACCTTCATACTTATTGGTACCACCAATATGTATATTTTTCTTCCATTGTGTCGATTTTGCACTAAGTCTACATGAATTTCAAGAGATTTGTAGGTGTTTTAGACAACTTTCTTCGACGTAATTTTAGGTTTATTCGTCCTTTTTTAACACCTTCAATCACCATGGTTTCACACCTATGGACGAGTACATTTAGAGGTTGACATAGGATGTGACCAAAACCACCTCAAACACCTTCTCTCATTTATCCTCTATGTATGTATAGACTCTCATATCTTGCGCTTTCTTTTGCTTAACAAATGCACTTCTCAGAGGCTTGCCTGTCGTAAACTCCGAATATTAACTTTATTTGAATGACTCCATCTGTTTTGCATCAAATGCTATGCTTTCATACTATAGCTGTCTATATGATATCCTTTCCTAGAAGGAGTACCTTTCCACACTATCTTCACTCCAAATTACGTGACAGACTTCTGTTATGCAATGTCTTAACATGATTGACAAGCTTCTAAAATATTGTATTCTATATAGGTTTCACAGTTTACAAGTAGCCTTCTGTAATAGCTTTCCGTTGGTATGTTAAATGCTAATTTCTGTATATGCTCCGTGGGATGATGCTCGGTCCTTTTCATTTGCCCTTCAGGTTCCTTCACACTATGTCACCTCAATAATTGATGGACTGAAGAAGTTGTACGTCAAGAAACTAAAGCCATTGGAAGTTGCATATCACTTCAGTGATTTTGTCTCTCCTTTATTGGTAGGTGTAGTTATCATGTCAGTTTAGCTATGCTTATTTGAAACGAATAAGAAAAGAACTTAAATTTCATTTCTTCCCCTTTAACTATGTTATCTTTCTTATCAGTATCATGATGACGGAAATACACACAGCTGAGTTAACTTCTTTATTATGCTATTTTGGTAGGCAAATAGTGATTTTGATGCCAAACCAATGGTGATGCTTTTAGGTCAATACTCCACTGGCAAAACAACATTCATTAAGCATTTACTCAAAACAAGTTATCCAGGTTAGCAAATTTTTTTTTCTTGCGTATATGCTTTTATCTGTGCATTGACGGGTCTTCGTTTATGTTTATGGTTCTTTTGTGCCTATATATAGGTGCTCATATTGGACCAGAACCTACAACAGACAGATTTGTTGTCGTTATGGTACTTTCACCTATCTGATTTTTACTGATATACTGTGTTCACTCACTTATTATCCTTCTTGGTATGATGCTGAGTGGAAGAAAACTTAGACTCTACCGGAGTTGAATCTTTTTTGTTAAAAGCTGTCCCAGAAATAGTGTCCCCTTACTTTAGACGACGTTTTATGATTCTATAACAGTTTACTTTTCATCAACATATGTATAAACTACTTTATTCAATTATCTGAGCTACCTATGTATTCACGCGAACCCAGTAGCTTCTACCCAATCCCTGTATACGCAGTAAGAAATTTATTAAATATCTAAAAATATTTGACTGTGAACATAGTTATTATTGTATATTAACTTAGTCGTTGTGGGAACAGATAAACTTAGAACCCTGGATCCGCCTCTGGTTAATGAAGACGTTCAGTAGGAAAGGAGAATTTATTCTTGAAAGTAGATTTGTTTAATGGTGTTGGTATGCCAAATCATTTGTTAGACATTCATTCACTTTAACTGTGTATTAAACAGAACGGACCTGACGAAAGATGTGTCCCGGGGAATACAATTGCTGTTCAAGCAGATATGCCATTTAGCGGTTTGACAACTTTTGGAACATCATTTTTGTCAAAGTTTGAGTGTTCTCAAATGCCGCATCCTGTAAGTTAATGGACTCTTTGTTACTCATACCACATAATGAAAACAAATTTTATAGAAACTAATGATATCATTTTTCCCTTAAAAAGCTGTTAGAAAATGTCACAATTGTGGATACTCCGGGAGTTTTATCAGGCGAAAAGCAACGAACGCAAAGGAGCTATGACTTTACAGGGGTGACATCCTGGTTTGCTGCTAAGTGTGATCTCATTCTGCTATTGTTTGATCCCCACAAACTTGATATTAGCGATGAGTTCAAACGTGTGATTGCATCTCTTCAAGGTCATGATGATAAGATACGAGTTGTTTTGAACAAGGCTGACCAAGTTGATACTCAACAAGTAAGGCATATAACATTTTCTTTCGTTCATGTCCGCGCCCTTGTAACTATGCTAAAGTTTATTTTATTAATTGGTCCTTATTATTGCAGCTAATGAGGGTTTATGGAGCATTAATGTGGTCTTTAGGGAAAGTTCTGAATACCCCTGAAGTTACGCGTGTCTACATAGGGTATGATCTCGCTATTTTCAATTATTTCATAACTAATTTAGAAGGGATTATTTTAGCAAAATAAATGTAATTAAGCTGCAGATCATTATGATATTATGAGAATAGATATACATTAAATACATTATCTCTTGCTTTAGTGCAGAGATAATGTTCACAAATATCCAAATATACATGTTCATTTCATAGTTCTGTCTATTTGAAAGCATTATTTTAAAGTCATACGAAATGTTTTATTTTTAGACGGAAAATTGAAAAAGGCTGCTCGGTGCACAAAGCATCTCGCTTTCACGCAGGGTCCGGGGAAGGGCTGCACCCCATGGAGTGTTATGTAGGTAGCCTACCCTGATGCAAGTATCAGTGACTGATTCCACAACTCGAACCCGTGACCTATAGGTCACATGGACTCACGGAGACAACTTTACCGTTGCTCCAAGACTCCCCTTTTTATTTTAAGACGGCAAACAAAATTCTTTTGTTTTGGAGTTGTGCAATTTGCATAAACTCTTTGGATGTTTTGGCTTTTACAGATCATTTAATGACAGACCT